ATCGAATATTTGTACTCAATATTTGTCTCTATAGAAGCTTTCTATTAAAGCTGGTGCTTGTGTACGGACCTTGAGTGTTGGCCCACCTTAATCCACACCGAGAGGATTTGCGAATCTTTGTCACTCCTCCCCCCTCCTCCCCAGGTGGGACGTGACACATCTTTTTGTATCCAAAAAGCATCAAGAAAATCTCTCAGTGAACACACTTATAACGTGGTTTAGTCATTTTACCTACAGTTTAAATATATCTTTGGAATATAAATGGTATACAACCCCCAACTCTTCAGAATAATGAAGAACATTGGATTAAAGATAGCAGAGTTACTTAAAAATGTTATATGGTGTAAACAGTCCAGTACAATAGGAAAGAGTAAAACTAAACCAGAATGGAAAGAGAGTAAAGATGCACAGGGAAGGAAGTCTGAAGAACTTCCAAAAAACAAGTTTTCAAGTTAACAATCTTGCCATTGAGGATCCAGTTGCCAAATGACAAGGGAATTGACAGCAAGGGAAGCAGAAGATCTGATAAATCTGGTAAAAACACTAAAGTTAAGAGCATAAGGACTTCATATAATCAATAAGAAGTAGGCAATCCCCAGTTAAGTGTTCTGATTGCTCTCTCAAAGCTCCACTAATTTTGCAAGGAAACTAGACCCCTCTGCATTAAGGGCCTAAAATCAGAAGATGCATACTGTTACTGAGGTGTGACACCCAAGTTACAGAATAGGTTGCTTTAATTCCCACTGATTTGTTAGATTCAGGATCTTGTGATGGGCAAAAGGAATGCACTGTATATGAAAAGCCAGAAACTTATTTTTAGTCCTAATGAAAGTTATAACAGTCTAACCAAAGACATTATTATTAGTCCATTTACAATGATACTAACACTCTAAACAAAATACTGTTAAAATGACATACATACACACAATCTTTCCAGTATCTACCCCTTGCTCACCCTTCCATTGCCCCTCTGGGGTCTTAGGGTCAATGGTTTCAACCTGGGAAGGTGGTGTATGATGACTGAGTTATCAGCATCCCGAGTCCTTTGCCATGAGGAGCAGGATGTTGCCTGTTTCTTCCTCCTCTCTCTCTAGGCTCCTCTTGGAGTAATTTTTATGTTTGTTAATGTGCTTTGCACCCTGTTATTTCTTCACTGGTCTGCAAGTCTGCATTACATTTTCACTCATCATATATGATGTGTTCTATATATGCCACATATCTGTTCTTTGTTCTCTTTGGTTCCCCTAAAACTGGTTTTATCCTGTTCTCAAGGTCACACTATTTGATGACCAGTAATTGGCCACTGGTGAGCTGTTCATAGGTCTGGGGCCTCTAGTATCATTCCATGCCAGTACTTTCAAGGCCTCAGTTATGGTCGCATGTCTTTACTCTTCTATGTACTGTTTTAGTCTAGGGTTATAGATAGCTAATTCTACACAGTGTAACTACATGTTATAACTATCTATTAAATACAAAACATATATACCAAAGTGGGTTACACCACACAATTGTACAAAGCTAAGCAAGAGATAAAATAAAGTAGATGTAAAAGCGGTTATCTAATGACAAAATAATAAATTATAAGTCAGAACAAACCTCCAGGCAGGCTAAGACAAGTCCAGCCAGCCAAAGCCAGATAGGTAGAGGACTGTGCTGTTAGCTAAACACAAAGCCTGTGGCCAGTTACAAGCCACAGCAACCCCATAGTTATGGGTCTACAAAAATACAATACACTTGCCAAAGAAACTAGACACCCATCATGAGTGAGGAACCACGCATCTGAAATAAAAGTCATGGGGTACTTTAAAAAGATGGAATAATTCACTTTTTACAAGGGACTAAAGTTTGTATCCTCATTATAAATCAAGTTACCTGACTATCAGAGTTAACTAACATCATTTAAACAATACTGACATGTCACAGAGCAATTCAGATTCAGAAGGTTGCACATTTATTTGAAGTCAAGGAGTCCCTCAGACACACTGCAAAACAA